GCTACCTTTTGTCCCGAAACAACATCTAATTTCAACAGGAAACAAATTTACTATTTTTAGAAATATAATGCGGCACTTTAGAGACATTGCTTTCCCTTGACTGAATGAGAGAAGTCACAGTCAACAACTAGTATTTTAAATGATGACTAAGGCCACCACCCATAAACAACATCAACAGGCCATCAATGTCAATAAGCTATTCATTTAGTAATAAGAAACTAAAGACCTGGCTGAGATAACTTGAGTATATGGTAGCATGTTGCGGCTCGATATATCCATTGGGCACCTGTTGCCTACGTTGGTATCCGTCTTGATGTAAATCATTACTCCTTCTGAATGGTGGTATATCTTGACTATGATTTGATGGATAGGTTTGCTTAGATTGGTAGCTTTGATCTGTATGCTGTTGGTAGTTATGCACTTGTTGTTCATCTATTCTCGATTGGTTTGCTAATAGATTCAATTTGGATGTAGCATCAACCAAGCCATCCATTGTACTAGAATTGTGATTATAATTTTGTTGCGGACCTCTATCATTTGGGTTTCGATCGTTTCTCATATGTCTATCCTTGTATTGATTTTGTTGATAAGTGTTGTTATATGGCATGTTCATGTTTTGATGATGTTTGTTCATCTCCTCTTGTATCTTTTGAAATCTTGGTGGTTTCTCATTTTGCGACTGATATTTTCTATCTTCTCTATAAGATGAATACAAGTTGTCGTTGGAATAATGGCGTCGGTCTGACCGATTTCGGTTGGCCCCTTCATGTCTTGAGCCATGTCGGTTCCTATTACTATTTCTTTCTCTATTTTGGCTTCTGTCATATCTATCTTCCATACTAGAATTATTTTGTCGCATATTCTTATCTTTTTCTGGTACATTTGGTAATTTATCTTCTAAGAAGTCAAACAATGACACTTTTCCTGATGGTTTCACAGGCACACCATCCTCATCACCAGATTCCTTGTGGCGACCTTTACGCTTCACTGGATCTTGTTCCTTCTGTGGTTTCTCTTTATTCCTATTTTCAGAGTTGTCTCTTTTCTGCAATATCTTAAGTGCTCTATCAACATTGTTCTTGGTATATTTTAATGTTGCTTCTGCTTGTTCCTCTGTAAACCCTGCATCTACAATCTTTTGAACATTTGCGTCCAGTAAAGGTTTAGTTCCACCACCAAAAACCTGTAAAAAGAAACATTTTTACTTAATCATCTTTGCAGGAAGTAGTGTTTTGGCTCTGCCCTTAATCTTGCCAATTCCATGAGTGATGGTAACAACTTATAATCAGGTGGGCTGCTCGTGAAATGTTGTATGCCTGCAAAGGCAATATAAAACAATAAATATTAAGGACATGCCTTTTTCACACCAGACATCCTCTGTGCCTCAGCAATAGCACCTTTTCTTTGAGCCTCGAACTCTGGATTGTCCTGTTTGGCAGCTTCTTGTAGACTCTTGAACTGTTTGTCCACAGAAAGAGCTTCTAATCTCTGTCCAAATGGAATCCATGGTGGAGGACCTCCTTCAGCTCCTATGCCTCCTTTTATCAGAATGAAATTAATATTATGAGGGTATCAGCTTTTAATTTATAAACATTTTATCTCTCTAACACTATCTCTAACACAATTAAAAATAAATGCAATTTCTATATAGATGCCAGAGTACCAAAGCAATTGCATCAACTTAACTAAAATTTTTTGTGTCTATAAATTAGTAATTTTTATTAACATATTTGCAAGGTTTTTTTAAAGTTACCTTCTATAAAGAGATTTAAACAGTTTAAAGTAATTTTGAGATACGAAACATCAAAAGCCACGTATAAACCAATTGCTGGCAAGGCAATGCACTATGTCACATCACCATGCACAAGCTACTGTTTCTTAATATTCATTTTCTATTTTTCATTATTAGTAGTATGCAATAAACAAATGGTTCAACAGAACTAGTTACATTATTTTATTGTTCCCACTTCGTTTAAGAGTGGGAAAGATCCCCAGCATTGAGGATTTTTAACGCAAGGAGGAGGAGGGAAGGATCCAACAAACACTATCCTTTATCTTTCAGGAAGCAGTAACACATTTCAGTTTAAAGGGTGGGGAAGCCTTAAAACTTACATTGTAAAAACTGAGACTTTAGAACACATGTCTCAAGCTGGGTGACAGATTTGTTTTGTTGATGTCTATGGGCTCAAGTAACCACTCATTACTAGGTGGGCTCTGAGCTTGTCCACCCATTTAAGTAGTAAAAACAGAAGCCAGTCAGCCACATCATGCAAATTGTGCAAACATAGTGCCAGACTGCTAAGCAGACAAGTAGAACCTGAGCAGCTAACCCATCTACATTCACACTGACAGAGGACTTTATTTAATACTTATTATGTATAACTGTTGGGTTATGGTCCTTAGCTAGTAGTAACTCCAAGACATCGATGACTATAAGCAAGCAACAGGTGAACAAATGTTAATAAGCAATATATTATCTAAATCAAGAGTTCTGCAGATATTCTACTGCACTATATTTCATCTGAAACTTAATAGTGTCTGTTATACTAATGGAAAGGTGAAACTGAAATTCATTTTTCTATAAGGACAAAACTACTTTATATGCTAAATATCTGACAATTACCTACTATAATACAACATGTTCCTGTTTCAAAATTAAATTAAAAAAAACTCTATTCTCAACATGAACATAAGACAAAAAACAAAATTCTGACTTAGGGCAGTCAAAAGATTAATAAATATATTTGTTTTAGTAAAGTTTATTTTTTCAAGAACCACAATATGGCACCACTATCTATCTGCCAGAGTCTTAGTTTCATATTGATTAAGTAAATTAACTAGAAACAAGTTCTGACAGGATTCTATTTCGTGTAATTTCATGTCCTGCTAGTGGTAAGCAAGTCCTAGCAAGAGTGAGATATACTGGCACTTTAGGAATAATATTAATTGCAAAAACATAACATTTAGATTATTTAATTGCTGAATAAAATTGATTAAATAAAAGTTTATTTTATTGTTTTGCTTACCTCTTGTGTGTTTGGCAAGACTTCTGTTCAGTTCCCATTTTTCAATCATATGAGATACTGTTCCGCCCAATACAGATATCACTGATGGGGTGAGCCATACCACTCCGTGACAAACTTCTAGCTCTTCATTCTTCAGCAACAACTTAGTTCCAGGTGGGGTGTTTATACTTAGACTGGGTATATGACTTATCTCTAGACCTGTACACGTTACTTTCCCGTCATGCAGGGTTAGCTTCAACATCCGTGGGGCAGATGTTGATTCTTCATTAGCTTTAGGAGCTGACACATTCCTAATCTTCTGAATTTGAACAACAACGGGGCTTTCTAATTTAGACGGATCCTTGACAAAGTCTTCAGGTAACGATCCTTCGCTGATGTCTCTCAAATCGTACTACAAATTTGAAAATTGTCATGTATGTTTAGTTGGTTATTATTGAAATTGGGTTGCGAATCCAATTAGATTTAATACTTACGTCTAAAGCTTTTTTGCTAAGAATGTTTACATCTTGAATTTGACCATTTTCGGTTATCGTATCGATGCCTTCTTCGGTCAAATGCCTGGAAAAACCAAACCCTTACTTTAGATCTAAAAGCACGGTGGCAAATAACATCAATAAATTTAAAGCGCTAATTAATTTACCAGCCCAGTTCCTTAAGAGTTTCCCGTAATGACATGTTTTGATTTAAGGTCAAATTAACATTATTCTGCGAGAATGAATTGAAAATAATAAGGCCCACGGACATACGGCACCATGACAGTACAAGGCATAGANAAAACCAAACCCTTACTTTAGATCTAAAAGCACGGTGGCAAATAACATCAATAAATTTAAAGCGCTAATTAATTTACCAGCCCAGTTCCTTAAGAGTTTCCCGTAATGACATGTTTTGATTTAAGGTCAAATTAACATTATTCTGCGAGAATGAATTGAAAATAATAAGGCCCACGGACATACGGCACCATGACAGTACAAGGCATAGACTATACACTTAAAACAAGGTAAGCACAGACTAATCAAGGTTGATAGTGGGCATCTCTTAATCAGTAGCCCACAAAATCTGATAAAGATGACGCTAAAAGCTAGTATTTACAAAATGCATTTTTTTCTCCTACCTATGCTAATAGCCTTGAGAGGCTATTTCAGCTTGTGCCAGCCAGTGACGCTGATATGGTCTCTCAAAACTATCAGCATAGGTAGGAAAAAAAACAAAAAAGAATCTACCGCCGGATCGGAAACGCGACCCACAGATCTGGCGAGAAACTCAGCGAGCTGTGTATATATGGGTTAATTTACTGTCATTATTTTGATTTTAGTATTGATAATAAAATATAAAGACAGTGGCGATTTTTTTTTCCTACCTAAGCTAAGAGCCTTGAGAAGCTATATCAGCGTAGCCTTAACTAGTAGGTGAGCTCACGGGGCTCAAACCTGATGACGTTGCTAACACGAACCCTAGCAAGAGCCGTGCTTCGCAGAATCTACCACCGGATCGGAAGCGCGACCCACTGAGAAGATCCGGCGAGAAACTCAGTGGGCTGTGTCTGAGGGTTAATTTACTCGTCGAGCCCTTCGTCGCAAGCGACGGGTTCGACGGCAGTACAATAATAGGCGCTAGAGGAAAAGCGCCAGCTAGATGAGTGGACCAACTCAAGGAGGTGACTGGAGGCCAGATACGGGGAGCGGTACATATGGCGCAGAACCGGACCGAGTGGAGAAGATTGACATACAGTCACGATCCTCAGCATTGAGGGAACGACCAGAAAGAAAGAAGATAATATTAGAGAATGCAAGTATAAAAAGCAAGTGAAATCAAAATTCAACTAACACGGACGTTAATTTAATTGAAACTAGTAAAATTAGCAACAAAAATCCAAAGATAAATTTAAGAGGCGGCATAGTATGAGATTGTAAGGCCCTCCGCCCATCTCAATGCAGTCTGGAGAAAAGTTTGTATGACACTTATGACAGTCCCGTCCATTATCTCCGTCCGTCTCTTTCTAACATTGTGTTTTTATTAATTGAATACAAAGCAGAATAGCTAACATAGCCTATTTACACAAGTCTACTTTCGAATTCGAACTAGTTATCAGGGTTTTATCAGTTTCTGATTCTGTGCTAAGTGTATTGCTATAGACGTCCGCGAGAGACTACAGAAATATACCGCCAGAACATTATCCTCAATTAATTTTATCAATATTTGATAAATGATAAGATCCTAAAAAGTTCAATCACTTATTGAGTGTTCGTCAAAGCCGTCGTATTCATTATTTCATATAGTATACGTGTACAGTTACAGTAAAATGACTACGGTAAAAAATGACTCAAATATATTTATATAGCTTTGAAGAATTCTATTTATTTTTATTATATGTTTACAATTAATATTTTATTTCTAGACACACATATTCAACGTAGAAATGACCTGTGAAGGTTGTTCTGGCGCCGTCGAACGAGTTCTCAACAGACTGAAGGGGCAAGGTGTAGAGGATATATCGATTAGTTTACCAGAACAAAAGGTATCTGTTAAATCAACACTGAGTGCTGATGATTTACTAGAAATAATTAAGAAAACTGGCAAGAAAACCACATATGTTGGTGCTCAGTAGAATTAGCTGGTTGGTTTTTGATACCACAAAATTTGTGGCTCTTTTGGATGCTCAAAATCACTATGGTAAAACAGTGTAATAATGAACAGCTATAATCTATAAACTAACACTATATTTAATCAAAATGTATAATTTTATCGCATATTCTGGCTATTCATGTTTACTGTAGCTTGATGGTGAGTCCCACCAAATGAATAGCTTATTTACCTGATTTCACCAGCACTTATCATAAGCTATAGCTTATATCAATCCCATACATTTGTGTACTTTACTGATAGTAGTAAAATGTCTTCTAAAATGTTGCTGCATTGGAAAATGTTATAAACTTGTAAACTATGTTGTGTAATTCAAGAATACTGGACCCAGTTATGACTCACTTTGCAAATCTTGGTTGTAATGCACATGTTAAACATAAATCTAAAACTAAACTTCAAGTAGATTGCTCTAAAAATAGTTATGGCAACTAAAATTTCTCTTGTTACAACTTAATCTACAGAAAGGGACTCACTTTGTTGTATCTTTTTGCCTATCCTCATGCAACTTAACAAATGTGTGTTACCTGTATATGTTGTTATAATATTGATATTTTTTTTTAAGAATTTAATAATGTATAAAATTATACTATTTAATAAAAATATTATTGATAAACATAATTGTATTGAAACTTCAACATTACTAATTATTTTTGACAATTCTATCCTCAACAGAGCTTAAACGTAAGTCTATAAGGTCTACAGCTTCATGCAATGCATTCAAATGATCTACAATTGCATTTACAGTAGGTANATATTGATATTTTTTTTTAAGAATTTAATAATGTATAAAATTATACTATTTAATAAAAATATTATTGATAAACATAATTGTATTGAAACTTCAACATTACTAATTATTTTTGACAATTCTATCCTCAACAGAGCTTAAACGTAAGTCTATAAGGTCTACAGCTTCATGCAATGCATTCAAATGATCTACAATTGCATTTACAGTAGGTAAGACATCAGCACAATCACACTCTTTTAATTTGTCTACACCAAAACTCAAAGATTTATTAAATTTTTTCATCCTTTTTAGTTGAGGTCCAGGTTGGCCAGGCTCTTTTATAATTTTAAATCCACTGTTGATAGGGAAACTTCTTTTTCTACCAACCCATTCAATAGTTCCACTTGTGTAGCACACATCATTATCCCTAAGTTTTATCATACCAAATAAGTCCTCTTGTTCTATTTGAATACCTATAGACCTGTTTATAATGGAAGGTATGCTGTAGGTAGCAGGGCTAGGGGGAGTACGCGGTATATGACTTGTGTGACCAACACTATAAGAAACTAATTCTTCTGTCCGACTCTGTGAATGAACTGGCAGATCTGGTCCCAAATCTGGTGCAAAATTCTCAGGTAATGTTTGATTTAATCTAGATTCATGTCTTATGACACTAATATTACCATCTGGTTCAATCATTGTACTGTTTGCATTTGGTTCTTGAAAACTTGGTCCAACAGCAGTATCGGGTCCATCATTATCAAAATGAACAAATGTAGTCACAGGATACTTCATGCTGTGGTGGCATAGGTACCATTCTCTTACACCCTGATTTTTAGACAAAAATAATGGTTATTCCATTTCTTATCACCAAGAAAATGAACGCTTGAAGCAAGCTTGATTTAAATTCAATTCATCTTGGAATGCTAACTTTTGAAATTCAATTTCGTATTTTGAAACTACATCACATACTATCTGTGTAAGGAAATAAAGAAATGATTCAACGAGGTGTTATGTACATTTAAAATATATTAGCTGCATTACTATTAATCTTACAATATGTATTCACCTATATATATTTACTATAAATATTACATAACTACACAACTACAATAATTCCTTATCTTTTATTCAAAACCTGTTTTCTGTTTCTCATCACTGAACTCCCTTTTGATATCTGTGAAGCAGACCTCTGTCCAGTGATCATATTCTGTCCTTCATTCTCTTTAGATTCACTTGATAAATCAGTAAAATTCGTTTTCCATATAAAGACCTAAAAAGTAAACATTAAATAAGAAATCTACAAATTGATTATAAATATTATAATTGAAGTATTTTAAAAAAAAGGATTTCATTTTTATTCTTTAATTTATTGAACAAGTTCATAACCCATATCATAATACTAACTAAGGATTACCAGAGTTGACAGACAATGCAATATGGATGCTGTGATGCACCTAGAGATCCAACTTTCATTTTGTTTAATAAACCGAAATTTATAAAAAAAACTAGCTACAGAAATAAGCAGGATGGGGGTACCTGCCAGTGCTAGTTTACAAAATGTCAAACCACTGCTAACTATTCCAATAATTATCAATAAGTAATTTATTCATCTAGCTCTTAATCCTGCCATTTGGGGTCTATGCAATGTAAATATTTATGATTTTATGGGATTTTGAGTCTTATGAGCTCTTTTCGCTAATAACAAAATATGATAATGAGGTAAATGTATAAAATAAATTACGCAATTAAGTTATATCATACACAATGTTATGTATAATATTATATATAATATTTTATTAGTTTTTTTTATTGCTTAGACGGGTGGACAAGCTCCGGCCCATCTGGTGATAAGTGATTACTGGAGCACATAGACACCTACAATGTAAATGCCACAACTCACCTCAAGACATGAGTTCTAAGCTCTCCATTTTTACAGTAAAAAGGCTGCCCCACCCTTCAAACCAAAACACATTACTGCTTCACTGCAGAAATAGGCAGGGTGGTAGTATGTACCCGTGGAAACTCACAAGACATCCTACCACCAGCCTACTTTACTCTCATAACAGTCTCTATAAGGCCAATGGTAACACTGCTATAATAATGTTATTCTAAATATCTATCACATTTGAATATAAAGAGCTCTTAAATAATAGAAATTTATAAAATGAAATTGACAGGTAGACATTATAACTAGTTACAAGACAATTTTTTTATTTCTACCATTTTTTTTCTCCAAAAATTATTTGCTTTTTTTGATTTGATTTGAGAGCCGATTTGTGATTATAGTGAATAATAATGTGCATCATAAGGTAAAATTAAAAAAAAAACACTTAAATACCTAATAACATGTTACTATTACTATAACAATTTATAGTAACTCTGTTATAATGAAATAAAAAGTAAATTACCAATTTGTCATCTCCAGCTGAAGAAAAAGTGTCTCCAGTTGGTGAGAAATTTACAGCATTTACAGGTCCATTGTGGCCGCTTAATGTGAATATAGGATGACCTTCTAATAAATCAAGTATCTGAAATAAATGTTAAAATTTCTATTATTACTTTCAAAAAATTTCAGTTTGTTGGTCTAACACCTAATGAAACAAACTTATAGACAATTTATTACAATTGCTGATATCTTGCTATATTCACACAACTATCTCCTCACCTTCATTTTGCCATCTTTACTAGCTGTTAGTATGTAACTACCACTTGGATGTATTGCCACTTGTGTGACAGCTTCATTGTGTATACTGAAATGCAAAATCTATTTTTAAAAAACATTCTCAAATGAATTCCAAGAAAAAAAAATAAGAGAAAAATCATACAATAAATTTATGGAAAGTAAGGATAGGCTAAAAAACATGTCTATTTGTTATTTATTTTTAAGGATATGGTGATTATTCTGGCTGATGTATTCATCCATTCCAGTTTAAAGAGTGGTACCGGTAGGTGTTACTACAATAGAAATTAAGCATACAGCATAGTCATGTAATACTATATACCACACAGATACTTTCATAATCCAAAAAAGAACTCCTAACCCTGCACACATATATGTTAAAGTGTTAAAGGAAATCCAAAACCATTTCTTCATATTCATCAGCTAGATTAGAGAAAGATTAACTGTACATTCTTACCTGTAGTATTGTACAAGATTATGAGTACGAATATCATATAATTTAACATTTCCATGTGACGTAGCAACAGCCACATAACATCCTGAAGGATGCCAAGCCAGGTGTAGTCCGTGACCTTTAAGGTCTTTATATGTATGGATACATTCTCCTGAATCTAGATTCCAGAGTTTTGTGGACTTATCATCAGAACATGATGCTATGATAGACCCATCATTTGACATTCGGGCGCATCTCACCCAGTTTGTATGACCCACAAAAGATGATATGAACTTGTGTTTGTGGGTTGACCACAGTTTCACAACTTTGTCATCAGATGCAGTTATTATCTGAAAAATAGCTTATACAATAATAAATAATTATAAGCATTTTTATCAGGAAAACTCGTTGCAGTTGTTCAAATTTAAATGTGTCAGAGTTAAGTGTGAAATTTACATTTTTATTGGCTTTGTATGAAGTGTGTATATGGTGTATCGAATGGTAACCAGCCACCATCCCTCATGAACTACAGTAATGGCAGGGACGTAACAAAAGCACTGCCTATTGACTTGTGAAAAAAGCCTTAAATAAATTCCTTTACCTTCTGTCCCTTATGGCTGCTCCTATATTATTGAAACATCTTCCAATACAAATTCTAGTCACCACAAAATTAACATATAAACAAAAGGTAACATAATAGGAGAACAAGAAAAAAAATACAGCTGTGCTGCTGAGATAATGCAATTAATAAAATGTTTACATACTTATTTTTATTTCATGAACATCCACAACAAGTACTTCTTAAGATTTTTGTGTTATTGATATGCAGTTTCTTATTATTATACTGTTACTCCTATGCCACAAGGGGTTTGTCTAAACAATGCTTATTCAAACTTTTTAATACCTTCGAGCCATCTGAACTAAATTGCACTGAGCGCACAGTCTGCGAATGTGCTTTGAACATGCCCGTGCTCCCAGTAACAGTCGGTACCCAGATTCTGACTGTTTTATCACGAGACGCAGATGCCATGTACTTCCCAGAAGAAGAGAATGTCACATCCATGACCGCCTCATCATGTCCTTGAAACCTATAACTACGCATTGTACCACGTAGATCCCAAAGCTGTAAGAATTATGATATTCCTTTTATTACTTTCATAATATCCAGTGAAATTTTAAGGTAGTAGCAAAACAGATAGTTTGATTTGCCCGAGCTACTACTTCCTGCCTTAACCTGCACCTCAGAGTATTTACCTTCCCAACAACTGCTCGTTAGCAATCATACAAAGAGTAGGACTACTGATGTACCAACGAAATGAAATGCAGTAGGACTCGTGTTGACTGCTCTACCCAATCGGGTAATTCATCTACAGCATTGAAATTCAATTATAGGATTAATAGAATCAGTTTCAATATAAAAGTATGTAAAATCAGTTTCAATATAAAAGTATGTAGAATAATTTTCAATTATTCAGGCTTGTGACGTATTTTTTTATTAGTGCGTTTTAACGAAAATTATACTTAGTGTCATTTTGCAATAAATATACGAGATCTTACTAAAACACTGTTGTCCAATGAACTAGTGGCAATTTGTTGATCGTTTGGGTTGTAATATAAAGCAGTTATCGCGTTTTTGTGGCCTTTGAGTTGCTTTTTCAGGCAAGGTTCAGGTGTTGTCACTTTATCTTCCATCATAACGAACAGGTACAGTATTTAGGATTTATACATTAAGTCAAAGCTTAACAGCATAACAAGTATTGTTAATTCCCCTATATTATTTACTGTTATTTTTCAGGTTCAAGTTCGCCTCAAAAATAATATAACTTTGTCCTACTGTTTTTTTAAAATTCAAATTTCAAATTAAAGTTTTGTTGACAGACGTTATTTTTTTGTTTTGATATTCTTTTTTTATTTTATTGGAAGGGATTTTATGATCCGGTAACTAAGACCTTTAAGTCATATCTTATTTTAATTTATATTCTTATTTTTATGAAAAATGATCATATAGAGTGAAATGAAATGAAAATGATTAATTTGAGATATTAATCAACTGGGATGAAATGAGATGATGTGGGATGAAATATAATCTCAATAAAATGGTGGTCAGTTACTGAGTTTTTTCAGTGGACTTTTTAGAGGATCCCGAGAAGTTACGTTAAGTGACTTTGTTTCATTTTCCACATTTGTAAACTTTCATAGATATTAAACACTTAATAATCCCCCGTTATTAAACATTTAAGCCTGAAGAAACACTAAATAGACAAAATAAAACAAATCACACAACTACACTCCTCGCGTTCCCACTAAAAAGTCCAATTCTTTTACAAACGCAACACAGTCACAGATTAATTAAAGTGATTTCAATAAAAAAAGGTAATGACACTGACAAATGACAGTCAGAGAGCAAAGTAATTCAAATAATTTCTCTTTTGCAACATTCCTTCATATTCATTCGCACGAGGTCCTTTAAATGTTTTGAATTTGGTTTTGAATTATTTTCATTGTTTTACAAAAGTACTCGTGTCAAAAAGGTGTGTTGCATATAAAAAAGAAAGCACGTTACATTAAAGTAGAGAAAAGTGAAAAGTGTATGTTGCATTTAAATCTGATACAACTGGTTTTTAATTTACATGCTTCCGAGTGTGTACCGGGTGGCTTAAGATGTCATGTTTTATTAAAAATTAGCAAATTAATATAAAATAAATGATGGGATTGATTGTTTGCAGATCGTTAATATTATAAAATGAATTGATTTTATATTGTATGAATATTTCTTGATAACTGGTAAGTAAATGTATAGTCTAGCAATGCACTTCAGATAGACTTGCAATAGGTTGCATCATGACAATAGGTAGGCTTGATGGTCACTCTTTTGTTTAAAAATAATTTAAATAAAAATGTTAAATTTTTTAAACTGTACATTGAAGGTATCTAAGTGCTTTAACAACAGCTTACTAAATTTTAAAACAGCTGATACATACTATGAGAGAAGTATTAGTAGTTCTTTTCTTTGTTTAGTTATTCTTTGTAATTTTTCAATCACACTAATTTTGCTCAAAAAATAATTTAAAAGGATATAAAAATTCTGAATTTCAGTGCGACATAGGCAGAATGAATGTAGGAGGATTGGGACCAGAGATTTCTGGGGAAGTAGCTTTAATAGCTGATGAGCTAAGTCGAGCTGTGGAATTGACCTTGAACCCAACTGTTTCACAAGATGCTCGGAATCAGGCATACAATGCTTGTGAGAGGTAATGGAATTAATAACATACTTCAGGAATCTACTTACCTACATCTACACTTTTTATGTATTTTAAAATTATAAAGATTTTTTAAAAATCATTTTATTGCTTTTAAGGGCAATTAAGAACATTACCATTCCCATACTACCATACCATACCATATTTACTGTACCATATTTATATTATCCTATAAGTTCTGATAGTATTCATGCTTGTATTAATAATATAAATTGAAACATGTAGAATGTTATGGAGAAAAGAAAAAATGATAAAAATGATGATTTTGATAAGATATCCTATATTTAGTCTATGATATAAGATAATAGACATAGAATTTTGAGTAATATTCTAATTATGTTATATAGTAAAATATGTACCGGTATGTTTATTATCCCTCATGATGAGGTTGGTGGTGTGATCAACTTTTTGGCATTAGCATCTGTACCAATGAAATGGAATAGAAAATTAAAACAGGTTTTGTTATAATAAATATAAAAAGTGGAATGATTAAACTTTTTTGGAACAGTTTCAAGGAGAATTCACCATGGTGTGCTCAAGCTGGTCTTTTGTTGGCCAGTGGCAATCAGTATTCTCCTGTTGTCAAACACTGTGGTCTTCAGTTGATGGAGCACACTGTCAAGTACAGATGGACACGTATAACACAGGCAGAGAAGCTTTTCATCAAAGTAAGTAAGAAATTATGTTAAGTCTTCAGATCCCAATTTGTGATACAACAGTTTATGTCATTATCATGACTGAATTCACAGATATGTACAGCCAAATTGCTGGCTTTATGGGTATTATCTGTATTATAGATATGATCACACATATTATATTTGATTAAAATATTTTTTTTTCTGCAGGAGAATGCAATGAAACTTCTCTACATGGGTGGCTGGGAGATGGGCCATTTGAATGATGCACTGGCTCGAGTAATTGTTGAGATGATAAAACGTGAGTGGCCACAGCAATGGCCAACTCTTTTAGGCGAGCTCAGTGATGCTTGTACTAGAGGCCATCAACACACACAGATTGTGTTGCATGTTTTTCTGAGACTGGTCGAAGATGTAGCTACTTTACAGGTAAGAAATGTATTGATACTGTGTGATCTTAATTAACTATGATTACAGTACTGTGTACATTATGCTTAGGCAGGATAATTTTCCAAATGACATTAAATTATTACTTTTACAAAAATAACAAGTACAACGTTAAAATGGAATGGTGTTTGTGAAACCCACAGAATGGTAGGTACCAATATTTTTGCAAGTGTCTTCAGTGTCTGTTTACAATTTCATGTGTCAAAAAAAATTATATACATGATATTAACAAGCCCTAATTTTCCTAACATTTAAAGTATATTATCTAGAATGAATTCATTAAAAATATTATTTAGGACTACTATTATTAGTGACTACACAATTATTTGAAACACGATGTGGCTAACCTTGGCTAACCTTCCATGCATCACTTGTTCACACTCAAATTGTGACAAAAAATAAATGACATCATCATTGCATTTAACCTTATTCAGTGTGCAGCGGCTTAGCTGTAACCTAGCATTACTGATGTCCATAAGCAATGGTGACTACTTAGCAGCAGGTGGGCTGTACACTCATCTTCTTCAAAAAAAATTTATAATAATTTTTCGATCAAACAATTTGATAATGTTATATTCCACCATCAATGTACAACCTTAAAGTACACATGTGCTGGACATTCCAGGTGGAGCTATAATATGGAATCCACAAACCAAATAACATAAATGTCCTAAACCCAACCTATTAAATGACATAAATATCATTACTTTTTAATAAAATATAGTCAGCCCTTTAATGATTTGATTCACATCATTTATTACAAAAGCAGACAGTTTAGATTTAAAACGTTCAAAGTGTTACCTACATCAACAATGCAGTGGGTTCTAATATTTAAAGCTCCATTCACAACTTTCGCGAAATGCACTTTCGGAAACACTAAAAACTGGAGATTAAAGTGTCTATTGCTTTTAGACAACTGTAGCATTGTGGTTCCGGATATTTGCAATACTTGTTTTGTATAAAATAGTATAAAATTTGAAATAAATTTTGATAGTGTATTTATTATACCAATCAGTACTGTGATTCATTGATAAAGTGATGTATTTTTTGTGAAATTATCTTATTATTTAGCTGTGCTAATATGAAGGTAGCTTGAATAACGCTAATAAAGCACTGAAAAAAAGATTTTATCTAGATCGTTTTTTTTCTGAGTGATCACTATAAGTGTCGTTAGTACTATTGTCTGTTTTTGGTTTTGATCGATGGCCCCGTACGGACCCGTATGTCCCTGCATTTTGTAGTATTGATAAGACTGTAGGTGAATTAAGAGCTCATAAAAAACAGCATTAATTATTTATGGTGGCCCATTTTATATGACGAAATCTTACGCTAAGACGGTACCGTTCCTATTACTAATTCTTTCCTAAAAAATTTATTAGACCTCCGGTCCCAAACTCGCATGAATTCACTTTTAAACATTATATACATACACGTAATGTAACTGCAAACACTTTTTTTTTTCCAAAGACACTGGAACAGAACCAACGTCGGAAGGATATATACCAAGCTCTAACGAGTAACATGGCGGAGATATTCTCGTTCTTTATGCGCCTCATCGAGCTTCATGTACAAGAATTCAGAGAGAAAACTGCGACCGGCGATTATAGCGGTGCGGCCAGCAATGGACGTGTTGTACAGGTGAGATAATGAGTTGTACTTATACATTCTCACGGCTNGACACTGGAACAGAACCAACGTCGGAAGGATATATACCAAGCTCTAACGAGTAACATGGCGGAGATATTCTCGTTCTTTATGCGCCTCATCGAGCTTCATGTACAAGAATTCAGAGAGAAAACTGCGACCGGCGATTATAGCGGTGCGGCCAGCAATGGACGTGTTGTACAGGTGAGATAATGAGTTGTACTTATACATTCTCACGGCTTAACTTTTTTTTTTAATACATTTTACGACTGCAGAATTTCTTGCACCTGTCTATTTAATAGAAAATATAAGTATGTGTCTTCCGCCGTCGCTAGCTACGTCTGCACTGAAGATCTTTAAAAATGAATTCTCCGAGGTTCCGCAGTTCTAACAAGTCATTTTTTTGAGATTTGAAAACAGTTTGCGGTGAGCAGTTGTCTGACTATATGCCTGGTATTACCGATGTCGATTCCTAAAGCTAACAACGTAAAGTGGGGGCGTAGGCTCGTCTGTGTACGAAAATGAAGGTTCTAGGAACTCAGCTAGGACTATCCTTAATTGTATAAAGAGCATCGCGCGCCATCTATAGTGCGTCGATGGTACTTTAACAGAAACCGACCATAACAAAATTTCATCATAATGGAATCAATAGTTTATGTGTGTGTAGAGGATTAACGTACTATCTATAGTACCCATAGGCTATGGAATGAGCTCCCCTCCACGGTGTTTCCCGAGCGCTATGACATGTCCTTCTTCAAACGAGGCTTGTGGAGAGTACTAAGCGGTAGGCAGCAGCTTTGCTCTGCCCCTGGCATTGCTGAAGTCCATGGGCGACGGTAACCACTCACCATCAGGTGGGCCGTATGCTCGGCAGCCTAC